AACTCTGCATGTTTCGACGTTACAACGTCATCCTCAGGATATTATTTATGATTTTAACTTTATACACAAATGCCAAAATACTATAATTCAAGTATTATAATTGTGAACAATACACACTGGACTTTTCACCTTATGAAATGTCGTATCATTGAATTTTTTCATGTAAATGTCTTGGATATGAAAACAAATTAAAATACCTATAAACACTTGGATATATTTTCATCTTTATCCGTAAACAAATGAGTAATAATTTACGAGCATTGTTATTTTAAAACGATACATGAAATATTATAAAAGATTTTCGATGAAATTTCGCTATGAATATCAGCAGCCCACTTATTATTACTGATATTTGTATTAATAATTATATCCTTTTTTACAAGTTTTAGAAAAAAGCGTACTTTTAAAAACATTAATTTTAAATATCTTAAGAAAAAATCAGTAATTTCAATATCATATATTATCTGTCCGTGGTGATTTATAATTCAAGCTTTAATGTTTTTTAAATACAATGTTTGACTTCTTTACTTGGCCTGGGTATGGCGCTTGATTCGCAATCTCAGTCACACCAAACGTGCTTATTCTTTCAGCCGTAGGGGCATTATAAGGTGGCGACAAGTCCACCTTTTTGTTGGTAAAAGAGTAGCCCAAGATTTGGCAGTGGGTAGTGTTGACTAACTGCCTTCCCTCTAGTTTATCATAACTAATTAGGGTCGGCTAGCGCAAATAGCCCTCGTGTATCTTTGCACGAAATTACAAACAAATCAAATAATATTTAATTTCTGTGAAATTAAAAACAAAACATTACTGTTTGTAGAATGTTTAAATACAAAATTGCTATTGTTGATTTTTATATTATTTTCCCATATACCTGCCAAACCTTGATGATCAAATTGCTTTAATGTTTCACCATCTAACAAAATCTACAGTCACTGCAATAATTGCAGAAGATCACTAAAATTTATAATAATTATTTTTATATCTATTTCAGAGGGCGCTTCAATCTGTTGTTTTGTTGTGAGTGCGCACATTAAGTTCAAGGGTCTCTTATTTTAGCATTCCGTGAATTTTTCTACAACAGAAGCAGCTACTAAGTACGTTTATAATTTAGGTGAGTTTATCGAAATATCAAAAAATATATATTTTAACTCTTCATAAATAATATCTCTCAAGAAACCTGATAACCCATTTTCTAGGATTGTAATTTATCTCATTTTTGATCCAACGGACGGTTATAATTATTTTATGTTGTGATTTACCCTTTTTTATCCTACGCATCTCTATTGTAATATTGTAATTAATCTATTGTTTAAAGATATCTGAGCAAAATAAAGTATTGTAGTTTTTCTGATCAGATAAAATAATTACAACATTTAAAGAAATAAACATTATATGTGTTTAAAAAAAATAAAATTAATGCTTTGCTAATTTTATTCTTACTAAAACATTTTGTAAATATTACCCTTTAAAACTTCGAGAAAACCTTATAGCAATATTTCTCAAACGGTAAGTCGTGACCTCTTTGGAGGTCGCGAACAGGTTTACAGGGTGGTTACGAGCAGTTTGCGCTGAGTCAACATTTTTTTTTCAATTTTTGAGGTGTCTGAGGGGTGCATATAATACCTTTGTTATGAACTATCAAGAACTGCGCCAAGAAACATCAATAGTTTTTTCATCCTTGTATAGATAATGGAGGGTTGCGACAACCAAAACTTGGACTGGGGTCGTCTGGCAAATCCGACTGAGAAACACTGCCGTATAGGAACGTATTAAACAATAATCAGAAAGTCTCATAGCCTTTGAAAGTTCTCTACACGACCAAATACGTGTAAAGGGTAATTTCTACACCTAGACTCAAAACAATGTACACTTGTTCCAATGAAACGCTGCAAAATAAAATAAGGCTGAAATTAATTTTCATGACTTATCTCTGTGGAAGTTCTTAGTTGAGTTATTTTTTAACTCTTTACTCCAATTATAAATATTTATCTCGTACGTCTTACATGTGAACAACTAAATCTCCAACAATCAAAAGTTACAAATAAAAACTACATAAATTGGCTTTCATCTCTTTTAGAAAGAATAAAGCAATTTAAGAATAAACTCTGGACACATTAGAAACATCAGCATAACCCAAAACACATCAACGACAACAAATGTTTTTATGAAGCATCATAAATTAGTAAACGTTAAAATTAACATAGCAAAAACATTTCATGCGACCAAATCCATGACATTTTAATGTCGACAAAAAATTTTATGCTGCTTGGTTCATAGATAGTACTAGCAGCAAAATCATTTTACGTGTAATTATCCTTTATTTATTACCTCCAGCAAAAAAAAAAAAAAGAAAGATTTACTTATTTATACCGAATAATCCAGCACATATTAGCAACAGTTAAGCTTTGAAATGAAACTTCCGGGGAACATAATTCATCACACAAACAATGGCCAAACACCCCATGAGCAGCAAAACCAGTCAACTGTCAACAACAGCAAAAAGTATTGTATGCGATGTAATATCTTGACAATACAAGCTGCAAACGCCTTTTCTATATCATAATCCACTGCTCGTCAACAACAGAAAAAGATTTTTAGGTGACATGATCCACATCATGTTAGTTTTGGCTAAAACGTTCTAAATATGACATAATCCATCACGAAATAACAACTGACACAATCCATCACCTAATAACAACCGAAAAAACCCAATACAAAATAACAACTGACATAATCCATCATCAAATAATAACTGACATAATTCATCACCTAATAAAAACCGACATAATTCATACTGAAATAACAACTGATATAATCCATCACCTAGTAATAACTGATGTAATCAATTACAAAATAACAACAACTGAGATAATCCATCACCTAATAACAACTGACATAATCCATCACCTAATAACAACCAACATAATGCATCACGTAATAGCAAATAACTTTCAAGTGACATAATTTACAAGAGTTACTAAGAAGAACAAAAAGAAAAAAATGCTCAATGAAGCGTTACTTAAACATTAGTAATTGCAAAAAAAAAAAACTATTAATAACGGAAAAACATATTTTATTCACGCTGATTTACACAATTAACAACTGTAAATCTCTCTTAAACGGCATAATCTAGCACCCAAAAGTAAAAACATTGACAGGTTTTTAAAGCCAAAAGTTTCTCTTTTTCGCAATATATAGATATATAAAATTTAAAATATTGTATTGTTAGAATATTATAAGTTTTAATAGACAGACATTCGTATGTAAAAAAAATTCATTTATATTCCAATAAGAATGTTACATCATCAAACGTTTCATTAGGATCTGCTTTTGTGGCGTTACTGCTTTTACATTATTTTTGGTTCGTGTTTGATCAGAAAGATTACTGGATGCTTGTTTGTTACATTAAACGAACTCACATTTAAATAAAGTTTTTTGTACTTCTTTCTGGCAAAATTTGAAGAGCATAAATATGTTCAAAACGTATTGTTTGCAACACGCTAGTTTGGGTATTTTATGACTTTCTTGTATTGGATAAATAACTTTAGTTACTCTACATCTAAATTCCCTATACTTTAAAAACTTGCAAACTGTTAAAATAAACGTTATACCTATTGTTTTGGATTATAAAACTAGTTACTTTTTGAATTCACGATTAATGTACCATGTTATATAGAACTAACATTAAACAAAGGCCATGTTTTCTGTTTCTTTTTCAGATTTTCATTACTATTTGTGCAAGTGTCGTCAGCGCCAAAACCGTGTTTCGCATCGACAGGTAATTTTGGAACCAATGACAAGTCTAGTTCGAAAGATACGCCCACTATTACCATAGATTCTAGTTTAACTTTAGCGTGGTCGTCTTCATTTAGCTTGCTTGCTCTGATTATTATTTTAAGGGTTTCGTTGACTTCAGCTATAATCTCTTCACCTTATCGTGTGTTGTTTTTTCACGAAGAGTCTTGATGGACACATCTTCCCCGTCCAATTGGAATATTGTGACGGCTTTTGGATTGTGTTTCACACTGCAAATATCGAAATATACGTGTATATAAAATTGTTCATAAACTGCATGGTTATTGTGAAGGTGATTGTTCATTTTTCTTGTGTCAACGTAATAAAATAATAGTGTGACGAATCCCCTCTCCCCCATGTAAATATTTTGTAATTAGAGCAAGATCTTTTGGTGAATGTCTGTAGTTTAATTGTTTCATTTCTGTGTTACATAATGCTTGGAATTTGATGTTAAGAAATAAAATGTTTATATTTCCCTGTGCTAACTCGTTGTGTTCGGCATGTACAAGATTTATGTTCGACTTCTCCAGCTGCTTTTCTCTTAAAAGTCACAAGCAATTAAAAATTGAACAAATATGATTTTATCCTCCAATTCAACCCCCCCCCCCCCAAATGATTATGTAAGTTTTAAAACATTCACCACAATCTTAGCAGCATAGCGTACAATTAACTTGGTTCTTTCTAAAACTTGTATGTTAATAATTGTTTTGAATGGATAATTACGGTAACTGTACTTCAAAACGTTTGAGATATTTAAACCCTGCTTCCGCATTAACACTGATATCCAAGATGTTGTTAAAACATTATACACACATGAAAAAGAAATTAAAAGATATCCAATACTGATATGTTTTACTTCTGTATTGGACACCAATACCACAACACACATTACATTTCAAACAGCATTGATTTTCCCTTGTAAAACAGAATGTAAATAACAAAAACACAAATGAAGTGATTTGTAATAACACTGAAAAACGTTTCTATAAAATATTATTTAAATTAAGAAAATAGAAAGTAAGTTCATAAAATGAATATGTAGTATAATTATGGAGTGACACGCAAATTTCATATAGAGGTTTTTCACCTACGACTTGTGCTACAAACATTTAATAAACTCTTTTGTCAAAGTGAAATCAGAAGGTCTTATAATAAGAATTATAGGAATAATAGCTCGGACATGGCAAAATTTAATTTATACAAATCATAAACAATTGTACTTTATCATTGTATTGGGTTTTCTTTACTAACAACCTAACATTCAAACATGAAAAATCTTAGCACAATCACAGCACACCTTGCTTTTGATTTTATTCTTATCTAACATAGTAGTTTGATATTATCAAAATGTAATAGTCAGAAAAGGGTAAGAATAACTGCTTCATAACTTTATTTTTATTTTTGTCCAAATATTTAAAGACTGATAACATTCACCTACGTCTTTGCTGTAATAAAGTAATAGTAATAGACGTCTTTTTCCTTGTTTGCAAACGCTCTTAAAAATATGTAGTTCTAATAACAAGTTGTCTGCACTAGACGTAATGTTCAGACATTTTACGTACATAAACTTATTGATAAAAGTGAAATTCATACAATAAAAATATAGTTGTGTATTAGACCTGGATTTAACGATAAGATTTTGTGAAACATGTAAAACAACTCTTTTTATTGATTCCAATTGACAAAAGCGAAAAGAAGGAAAAGTAAATGGGCATTTCAAAACCTTCGGAACTGGGTGGTTATGAAGACTTTATTGATTTTTTAAAATGAAGTCCTATATATTAGTATACCAGTCTTCTTTGTTACTGAATTTCTCTTTAAGTTTAGTATTTTACAGAAGGTTTGGGTGACATATACCAATCCATTTTTGTTGTAGGCTGGCAACAGAATAAAAAGGAGAATTACAAACGGGTCGTTTTGAGCGGGTTTTCTTTCCCTTGTAAGTCTAACATGCGTGTTTTTTTGTTTTGTTTTTGTGTATGTGTGCGTGCATTTTTATATGTGTACAGCTTTATCAGTCAATAGTAAAGGTTTAAAATTGTTGTCTGAGTTGAATCTTTACTGTTTAAAGTGCTTTTTGCCCGAACGTTCTATTGTGCAATTCCTTGCGATCACTATTATGAAACACAATCGTCATTCATAATAATAGCCTTCTTTAATAAAGTTACCTTTCTTAAGTTATTATAACAGTCTTTTTTTATTACTAAAATATTTTTTAAGCTAGTATAATAGCCTTCTTTATTATTGAAACCATTGTTAAGTTAGTATGCTAGTCTTCTTTATAATTGAAACCTTTGTTAAGTTGATATATTAGCCTTCTTTATTACATATAATATAAGATATTAATATAAAATATCTTTAATATATATAATATAATATAATAATATAGATTTTAAAATATTTTTAATATAAAAGCTTTCTTTATTACTGACACCCTTCTTAATTTAGTATAATAGCATTATTTATTAAAGAAACCTTTCTTAGGTTAATATACTAGTCTTCTTTGTTATTGAAACCTTTCTTAAGCTACTTTCATAATTTTTTCTCACACAAATCTTTCTTAATATTTTATATTAGCCTTCTTTGTTAAACATACCTTTGTTAAATTAGTATAATAGTCTTACTTAAAACCTTGGTAAAATCAGTATGGTAGTTTTCTTTATTACTGAAATCCTTATTAAGTTAATATAACACTATTCTTCATTACTAAAACGTTTGTTAAGTTAGAATGGTAGTCTTCTTCATTACTAAAACGTTTGTTAAGTTAGAATGGTAGTCTTCTTCATTAATAAAACATTTGTTAAGTTAGAATGGTAGTCTTTTTCATTAATAAAATCTTTGTTAAGTTAGAATGGTAGTCTTCTTCATTACTAAAACCTTTGTTATGGTAGCCTTCCTCATTACTGAAACCTTTGTTAAGTTAGAATGGTAGTCTTCCTCATTACTGAAGCCTTTGTTAAATTAGAATGATAGTCTTCATCATTACTGAAACCTTTGTTAAGTTAGAATGGTAGTCTTTATCATTACTGAAACGTTTGTTAAGTTAGAATGGTAGTCTTCTTCATTACTGAAACCTTTGTTAAGTTAGAATGGTAGTCTTTATCATTACTGAAACGTTTGTTAAGTTAGAATGGCAGTCTTCTTCATTACTGAAACCTTTGTTAAGTTAGAATGGTAGTCTTTATCATTACTGAAACGTTTGTTAGAATGGCAGTCTTCTTCATTACTGAAACCTTTGTTAAGTTAGAATGGTAGTCTTTATCATTACTGAAACGTTTGTTAAGTTAGAATGGCAGTCTTCTTCATTACTGAAACCTTTGTTAAGTTAGAATGGTAGTCTTCATCATTACTGAAACCTTTGTTAAGTTAGAATGGTAGTCTTCACCATTACTGAAACCTTTGTTAAGTTAGAATGGTAGTCTTTATCATTACTGAAACATTTGTTAAGTTAGAATGGTAGTCTTCGTCACTACTGAAATTTTTGTGAACCTTGTTAAAATGATCCCGTTTTCGTATTACTGAAACGTTTTTAAACTAGTATATTCTTTATTACTGAAACATTGTTAAGATAGTATACTTGTCTTCTTTATTACCGAAACCTTTGTTAAGTTAATACACCAGCCCTCTTTATTAGTGAACCTTGTTAAAATGATCCAGTTTTAGTAATACTAAAACATTGTTAAGCTAGTACATTTTTTATTATTGAAACTTGTGAAACTGATATCAGTCCTTTTGTTATTATAGAAAATCTGTTAAGCTAGTATCTTCTTCTTTATTACTCAGATATTTTAAATAGCATCAATCTTCTTTATTCCTAAAACCTTTATCAAACTGGTATTTTCTTTTATAAATTTATTAGAATACTTCTTTAATAATGAAATTCTTCTTCATTTATTCTCAATCTTCTAAATTTCTAAAACGTTTATTAGGATTGTATCATTCTATATCATTCAAGCTTTTATTAAAGTAGTGCCATTTTTTTTTTGATTACTGAAATTCTTATTAAACTGGTACCCATATCCTTTTTTTTTTTGTAAACTCGGTTCTAGCAGTACCAATCTTCTTTATTATTGAATCATTTGTTAAATGGTATTAGTTTTCTTTCTTACTAATACACATGCTAAACTGATAGATCCTTTTATATTTCTGAAACTATTTTAAACTAATATCACTGTTTTCAGTATTGAAACTTTATTTCATCTGGTGCCAGTATTATTTATTAGCAAAACTTTTTGAGTTAGTAGAAGTATTTTTTTATTGGAATAGTCTTCAGATAAAAAACAAATCTGGCAAAATTTTATTTCTTTTTGTGCTTTCAAGGGTTTCACTAACTAATCTAATATGATATTACATGATCTTAAAAAAAGTATGCATATATATATAAACATTGAAGTTTCTTTCAATCTTTACCGATCTACCACAAGTTCCTCTTTTATATAGTAACTTGACAGCTATTTATAACAAATATAACACCTTCTCTCTCCAGACAAAACAGCAAGTCTAAAGAACTTTGTTTGTGTTAAAACCTCTTTCGTTTTGTTTTTAGTTTCAACATTACATTTTCATTAGAAAACACGATCGCTGGGTTCCCACATGAAACAATGGATTAGAAAAATAAAGAATTTTACTATTAAGTTTTGTACAACCAGTATGCCCATCACATCATGCATAATACATGAAAGATTGATTTGAGCAGGTTGTTTACTTAAAGAACACGTATATTATTTAGTTTCAAACATCTTTCAGATTAAATAGTTTAGATGCAATTGCAGCTCAATCGTCTCACGGAAGATTCCAGACTCTTGAAACTTACATGTTTAGCTGTAATGTACAAATCTTAATAAGATGCTTTGATAAATAATCCCTCCAGTTATCAATTTATCTTTTAAACGGGAAATCTGCTCTTGCACAAACAATTGCTTAAGGTGTGTCTGACTTGAGTCTCATCAATCTTAAAAAAGAAAAGATCCGGATGGTTTACAAAGCATACGTTTAAGCAAACTTCATATTTTAGTGCCTGGACAAGTCGTGGATTTTAGTAAAACTGAATTTAACATGAATTAAAAAACTGTGAAAGTATTTAAACTCTTATTGGGTCTTCTGTTGGAAATAGTTGTGAACGTTTGGCTACACATAAGTTGGCATTTATTGCTATTCTAGAGCATTATACTTATTGAACTATGTCTACCATTATAGTCCTAGTTATATGTATTTAGTAATCACTAATAGAGATATTTTTTTTTTTTTGTAGAACGTATCGTTACAAGGAAATACAGGGAGTATAGTATTAGGATCATTTACGTGCTTAATCCGTTAATCAGCTTAATTTTGTACATATAGAAGCTTGTGCTATAAAATAACAAAATAACTTGTCCTTCTTATTATACAACACGTCCCCAAAATATGGAATATTATCAGTTAAAAAATATATAGTCAGAAAAATATGTAAAAACTACTCGAAAATAAACATGTTTAAGAAATTCTCGGAATAAATCCTTAGAAATTATTATAATCCTAGATAACAGAAGTTTTTTCAAATGAAACAAAGCCTTAATAAAAGGCCCAGCATGGCTAGGTGGTTAGGGCACTCGACTCACAATCTGTGGGTCGCGAGTTCGAATCCCTGTCCCACCAAACATGCTCGCCATTTCAGCCATGG